TTCACAGGATTGGTACTGCAAACTGGGTTCCCACCAATCACACTTCTACCATCTCTGTAGGACTTGGGAGATTTATCTATGCTGTAGGTACTAAGACTGATTTTGATTTTGGCTTATACATTTTTGATCAAATCATGAAGCATGCTACCACTAGTGCCATAAAGTTTCCTATTGATTTTCCTTCCCTCATTTGTGAAATTATTCTGAATCAACACCCTGGTATTCTTAATACTAATGATGTCGCATGCAAGAGGGAATATGTGTTGTCCCTTCATTATAAGCTGTTTACTGGAAGACATGTCCCTGACATCTACTGAAAAAGCCTCTACTTCAAGGGAAAGGATAATTTCAAAATTGAAGGAAACCTGAAGGGAACTAGGGGATACGATTAGTGCTGCTACGGCCAGAAAAATTTAGTTGGAATCCTTAATTCAGTGCCTTGAAAGTGAAGATAATGTTGTTAATGATGATGCTACTAGTGAAGAAGATGGCGAGGCTGGGTCTGGAAAGGAATCTGAGGATGGTAGTGTTGATGTGCCAACTGATACAAAAGATATTGTTGCAAGTTCCGAGTATGATGATGAAGATTAAGCTGTCTGCTTTGTTATTGGGGTTTTTTTGTTAATTGCTTTGTCTGCCTTGGTAGAAGGAACTTTGTTTTTGCACTTCATGTGATTTTGGGATAGTATTGGGTCTCTATTCCCCTAACTCATCTTGATTCTAACATTATGATATATTATGCTATCTCTTAGCTTTTGTTCTTAAATTTATGGCTAAAAAGGGGGAGAAGCTTGGTCTGCATACAGCTTGGTATATACAGTTTGGTATATGGTTGTGGCAGGTGTGTAACTGATTGGAAGATGATGGTTGTTGATGCTGTTGCTCTGTTTGTTCTGCCTGGAAGGTGTTGTTTGGGCTGTTTATGTGTTTTTGTCCTACTGGTTGCTGATTGTTGAAGCTGTTTTGTTTGTGTGTTTGGGCTGTTGTTTGTATGTGACCTTGCATTTGCTGAGGGGGAGATGCATTTGTTGAGGGGAGTTTTGCAGAGTCTTTATTCCTGTTATTTCTTGGTTTTTTTCTGCTGTGCTCTGTGTTGGTTCTAAAACTCTTGTGATCTATTTATGTTTTAGCCAAAATTTTCCGAAGGGGGAGTTTGTTAGTTCCTGATTGGCAGACATTTCGGTAAAACTAGGTGTAATCACAAGATATCCTACATGATATCATGACATTTGTTTTTCAAGGTTATGCAGGTAGCTTTGTATGTTATAGCAGGACTTATCGCATGATGTCCTGACACTTATGAACAAAACATTTTGTATGAATGTGTTTGTTTGTCTATCTCTTATGTACTAACTTGTTACACTGATCTGGTGTAAATCTGCAAGTTTTTTTGGTGTTATGCAAAGGCGTTTTGGATTCGCTTTTGAGGATCGTGTGGAGCTATTCTCAGAAGATAATGTTGGAGATTTGAAGAGTGATTTGATTGGATCTGATTGATCAAATCAAATTTGTTTCTTTGATACGAATTATGAAGATTGATCTCTTCACAAATCTGCTGTTACTTTTGCCACAGCCCAAGCCCATTCAGTACTGCTATTTAAGGATGTACAAACCCTAGCTTTGTGATTATAGAAACTAGGATTAAAAGTGTATGCATTTGTGTAAGGTTTAGCTCTCGTGTGTTTTTAGTTTGTGTGTTATTCACTCATTATCTAATGTGTGAATTGGACTAAGTTTTGAATTGTAATTTGTTCACTCAAAGCTTGTAAGCAAGAGTGTATTGTACTTGATTGAAGCTTTTAAGCAAGATCAAGTTGTGACTTTGAAGAGTGTCTTCTAAACTCTTCTCTTTTTGTTGTTGTTATCACTGTTTTGATTGAGGGGGAGTGAGAGGTGTCTCTTATCTAGGCGTGTCCTAGGTAGAAATTGCAAGGGTAGAGATTAGGTGAGAAGATGGTAAACTAGAGAGAGTCTATTGTATATCTTGAAACTAATTCTACTTAGTGGATTTCCTTCCTGGCTTGGTAGCCCCCAGACGTAGGTGTGTTTTCACCGAACTGGGTTAACAATTGCTTGTGTCTCTTTACAATTGTTATTTGTTTACTCTTGTTCTTAATTAATGCTTGAATAAATATTTATTCCGTAAACATCGCCTTAGACATCTAATATCTGATACCAGAATTTCAGAATGAACAAAGGTAAATGAGCAATACCTGTAGTAGTCAGCAACATAACATTTAGGTTGTTTTTTTATGTTCCAAATGTATGTGATTACATGACAGCATGGTATTCCAGATAGATCCCACTATCTACATGAACATGTTTCATTTTTTAGATTTACACAATAGGTCTCAATTCCATTGGTCACACAAAAAAATGGAGAGATCATCATCTCCATGCTATGTTGGAATCCAACCTTATTCATGTTTTTTACTCTTCTCAAGTACAAGTTGGATTTTAGGGCATATAACACCCTCATACCCTTGTAACATCTCCTTTTTCTTTGTGATCCTCTTTGTTATATAATGTTTGATTCCCTCTAATAATGTGATTATTGGTTTGTCTTTACATTAGCATCACCCTTATTAACTTCTAGATTAACATCACCCTCATTAACTTCTACATTAGCATCATGCTCACTAACATTAGGCTCAGTAACATTATTCTCACCAACATTATTCTCACTAACAGTTGGCTTACTAACATAAATGTCACTAGCTTTACCCTGATTAAAACTAGTACATTCTACCTCATCCTCATCAATGTAATTTTCTAGTTCATTTGTATCCACTATCTCAGGTGGGTCAGATACCTTATGCTCCACATATATATCCATAAGCTCACGTCCTACAACATCTTTGGCAAACACCAACACATCCTTATCATTAGTTAATGGTCTAAGTCCACGTGCAAAACTATAGACAGAGTTCCAATACCACAAACATTTTATGTCTATATAACCCTCACTTTTAATTAAATTCTCCAAACCCATATAGTTTATAAAACCGTCATCCCATCCCCAATTCATCTCAATTACCTCTCTACCAACATACCACTTAACAGGTTCAGAAACTAGTTTTCCCATATAGTGTATTCTTAACCTAACCTTATTACTCTAACTTGGCCTAAAAAAATATTGCATACATATAAAAATAACATCAGAATAATTTAACACAACAAGGTGGACCACAACAAAATATTAAACAAACAAGTTGAGGCAAACATGGTGGTCCATACGAAGAAAGGAACAAACATAACACGGGGACATGCTGACCCTACAAAAGGAACACGAAAACATACCCTAAACAAAATATGACTTGTCCACTAGACATCTTCGCAAATCCAAGCAATGACGTTGGTTTGAGTGGAATTTAGGGAGAAACATGGGGTTGTTCTTCTTCACAATACCAAACAGTTTCATATTCTTTTCTACTTCGCTTCTTCTTCGCATCGTTTAGGGTTTTTTTAGGTGAAAACTTAGAAACCTAATTTCTGAAACGTGAACAATGAGTTTAAAGAAGAAAACCAATTTTTAATGTTATAAAATGATTTACATAATTAAATGATTATTTGGATCCACAATGGCGTTGTCACATCATTAATGACATTGCCATGTGATAAAAAAATTGAGGGGGGCCATGGAAATCCTAAGTGAGGCAAACTTTAAGGACCAAAAAGCTGGTTTTTAAAATGGGGGAACTAAATGTTAAAGAACTTCAAAATAGGGGGAGAAAAAAATGCATTTAAGTCTTAGTTTTTTTTAAAAGATCTAGATTAATGAAAGATAATGATGCATGAAGAAGAGTGTTTTTTTTTCTTCGTAAACTCAGATCTGACAAGCAAATTTAAGAAAACACAACTGATAATTTTTTTAATAATAACCTGTTTGTTTGTACTTCAAAGCAAAAGTTTTGAAGGTACCATAAACATGAGCATGGTAAATGTTATGGTAAATGTTGAAGAACAATGTGAAAAATTTAAGAGCATAAAAAGGAGAATTGAAGAGATTTTTTTAAAAAAATTAAATATCAAAAAATAAGATTAAAGAGAATTTAATTTTGAGGAAAATGAAAAACAATCCCTAATTGAAGAACAAATGGTAAATCACATTTGGACCTTTGGCCTCGCTATTCATCCACGTCGTCATAAGATAACCTTTTTTTTCTCTCTATAATTTGACGGAAGAGACCACGTATACTAACCAAAGTAAAGTTAAGAAACTAACTTATAATTTTTTATAATTTCTTTTAATTAATAGACTAAAATGTAAAATTAAATTAAAAAACTACTAATTATACCTAATAAAAATGTTGTGGACGAAAAATATTTAAAAAACCATAATTAAAATTATTTTTTTAAAAGACTAAAATCAAATTATAATATATTTATGAAGACCTCACATATCTAACTTAACTTGATCAATTCTAACACTTTAAACCAGTAACAAATTTTCTTTATTTAGAAGTTATTTGAAGAAGAACAAAATAAATATAATTTGAAATTAAAAGGTAAAGTTATAATTGTACCAAAAAAAAAAAAGGTAAATTTATATTTAAAATTTTCTTTTTATTGTATAGTATAATTTAATACGTGGAAGGGAGGAATAACTAATTTTCAAAGATGAGTTGCCCCTGGAATATATGGATATAAAATGCGATCTCACGCCGGTATCAGAGCTGAGAAAGAAATTCAAGTGCCATTTCTTTCTTTCACATTTCTCCATCAAAATCATCATCCCTCCCCATCACGATCCTCTTCCTTTTCGTACTCACATCATAAACCTACATTTTCAAATCCTTCTCGTGATTCCTTTCCATTTCCCATTTTCATCGTTCTTATCCAACAACCATTAATACCGTTGCCATAATTTCTCTCTGTTATACACATTAATACAATCATCAACAACGTGATTTTAATCATTTTTATCCTAGATTCATTCCGATTCGGAAACAGAAACTTATTAACCGTTTATAATTTTTGAAATTTTTGCATATATTTATATGATCGGTAAGAAGGAGATGAAGGAAGTGATTGAAGAAGAGAAAATCAGGAACAGTCAAACGGCGACAATATCAAAATCTGCTCCTTCTTCTTCGCGTTCATCTTTTTCATGTGAAAGAGAATACAAAGTTCGTGATGTTCGAGATGGAATGAAATCATCAAGAGCAAGCAGATTCAATCTGCTAGAGAACGAGTTAGGGTTAAAGAGTAGTTGGAGACAGTTCAGTCGCAAAGCTCTTTTTCCTGAATTTGTTATCGATCCTAATAACAGGTTAGTTATTTTTAAGCTATTAACTAAAATTAGTAGTAACTGCTAATTATTGACTCGTGAAATTTAATTATTGTTAGTATAGTTACTTAATTAGGGAGGGTAAATGGTTGGATTAGGAAGATGATCGTGTTGGAGTAGTGTAACTTACTGTTTAATAGATTTTATTAAAATTTAAAAACAACTTATTATAAAAACAACTTTAGCTTATTTTATTTTTATTAAAAAATAGTATTTACAAACTTATTTATTAAAATAAGCATTTGTGCTAATTACTGTATTTATCTAAATAGACACTAAATAAGAATAGATAAACTGAGCAGATTCATCTCATTAGTGTTGTATTTTGTTAATTAGATTGGCGGCAAATTTTAAAATCTACACGTAAAATTTCTATGGTGTATTGTGATATCAAATGTCAAACTTAGTTTATTTTTATTTTGTAATGATTTTTTGTAAATGATAAATTAAAACAATCAAACCAATAAATTGAAAAATATTATCAAGTAAATTAAGTCTATAAGATTATATTTTAAAAATGATTTAATATCCTATTATATTAATTTATTTTAATATATGATAAATTATTTAAAATACATGTAAAATTTATCACACTTACACCTTTCAATAATTTTTCTTTTTTTGTAAATGATAAATAAAATAATCCAATCATTAAATTGACAATTGAGTTAAAAAATAAAGATTAATTGTTATGTACTGTGAATATAAAAAATTTTACACTGTCAATCCATCACAACTATTCGTTGGTATTACTTTTCAAGTGATTAAAATAAAAGTCAAATATTTCACATAAATCCGCGATTGTAATTAACTGATAGTGTAAAAAAAATTTCACTAAACCTATACAAATTTTATAGAATTTAAAAATATATTTGATATTCTATTTCATTAATATATATATATATATATATATATATATATATATATATATATATATATATATATATATATATATATATATATATATATATATATATATATATATATATATATATATATATATATATTGAATATAAACCATCTAAAATTTAAATTGTTTAATATTTTATTTGCATGTTCATTGTGATAATATTAAATAACTCAACAATTAAATTGATTTAATTTGATTTTTATAAAGAACTATCGAAGATATAAGTAGGCAAAGTTTATGGATTCAAACTCATAAATTTTTAAATAAAACTGCATTACTAAATCAATTATTACCAATTTCATTTGTTTATATTTATGTATTAATGTAAATAAATTAATAATATTTATAAACTAATAATTTTTTAAAAAGTTATTTTTAATTTATTCAAGTACAGATGAGATGAGTGTCCTATTTACAGGATTGGAGACAGAAACAGAGTGAAGAATTATACATAAAAACTAATTAATCAAAATTTAATTACAATAACATTTACTTTGTGTTTAATATTACTCTTCACCCTCTAGCTTAAGCCCCTCAAGTACTAATAAATTATCTGTCTCAATTAATGGAAGACTAAATTGTTTGAACTGATATTGATAAGCAATGCAGGTGGTATCGGGCATGGACCGTTTTCATATTATTATGGGCAATGTACTCATCATTCTTCACCCCAATGGAGTTTGGATTTTTTCGTGGCCTGCCAGAGGATCTCTTTATACTGGACATAATAGGACAGATTGCTTTTCTTGTGGACATTGTTTTGCGGTTCTTTGTTGCTTATAGAGACAGTCAAACCTATCGCATGGTCTATAGCCGTGCTCCTATCGCTATGCGGTAAATTTACACCTCATGATGTTCTTCTTATTGCCAAGATCTTAATGTTTTGTTGGTGTTTATTAAAGAGTCACACATCCAATGGTATATGATCATTAACCTTGTTTATAGGTGGGACAGTGGTCAGCATATTGTTTTTTTTAATTGATTTATGCCTTTTTTATTTTTTTGCAGGTATCTAAAATCTAGTTTTGTCATTGATCTTCTTGGATGTATGCCCTGGGACCTCATCTACAAGGTTCTAATTCTTCTGGATAAACCTTGAGTACTTGCGTTGCCCGTGAATTGTTTTGGCCTACATAATTTATTATGATTCTAGACATTCTTTCAAAAATGCCTGTTCACATTTCACAATGGTTCTATAAGGCCGGAGGTATAGGAATTCAGAGAGGTGTTCATTTTCTGATTTGATTATTGAATGAACTACTAAAAGTTTGTTACACAAGATAACACTGTTGCTATTTATAGCAGACTGAGTGCACTGAGTTACAACAACTCAGTGACAGCTCAGCAATAGTTAGTTATCATATTTAAACTAATTACATTCTAATTTCTATTTTCTTATGCATTTATTCTCTAATATCTTCCCCACAAGTTGAGGAGACTTTTTGCTTGAAGTTGTTCTTGAACTTTCTTAATCTTTCTTTCTAATATCTTCCTCACATGTTGAGGAGAGGAGACTTCTTGCTCGAAGTTGTTCTTGAACTTTCTTAATATCATCCTTTAGGTTAGAGAGGTTTTATCTGCCACTTTGAGACCGTCCCTGAGTGTCAAAACCCTTAAAGAGGACAGTGGTTTAGAAAGAATATCAGCAGTTTGAAGAGCAGCTGGAATGTGCTTGACTATAAGGGTTTTGTTGATAACTTTTTCCCTTAAGAAGAAGATGTCCAGGTTCATACGCTTAGTTTTTGCATGTCATACCGGGTTATGTGATAGAGATATAGTACTCTGATTGTCACAGTAGAGAGTAGGTGGAAAAGTATGTACTTGAAGCTCACATAAAAGAGACTTAAGCGAAAGTACTTCAGCTGTAGCTGCGGTGCTAACAAGGCTTTTGTACTCAGCTTCAGTATTTGGCCTTGTTACAGTATTTGTTTCTTGGACACCATGACACTAAATTGTGACCTAAATAAATATATGAACCTGTGGTGGACTTCCTGTCATCAGGATCCGACCCCCAGTCAGCATCAGAGAATGCAGTTATGGCAATTGGCCTATCAGGAGTAGAGGGAACTAAGTGTAGACCATGATGAAGAATTCCTCTGAGGTATCTCAGAATCCTCTTCACAGTAGTCCAGTGACTCTCCAGAGGTTGAGCAAGAAACTGACAAGTTTTGTTAATAGCAAAGCCGAATTTTGAAGATAATCAGAGCCATCTTTGGTGAGTTTGAGATTAGATACCATGGGAGTGGAAAGGCTCTTAGGCTCACTCATGTCATGTTGCTCCTGGCTAATAAACTCTTACACTTTTGTTTGAGAAAGAAACATACCACCATTGGAGTGATGAGAAACTTCAATTCCTAAAAAATAATCAACTTGCCCTAACTGTTTTAGAGCAAACTGATCATGCACCTTGGAGATTAAATCTTGAATAAGAGTCACAGAATATCGAGTAACTACTATGTCATCTACATAGACCAACATGAAAAGAGTGTAGTGAGGAGTGATGAGTGTGAAAAGTGATGGGTCACATCTGTTGGTTTGGAAGCCAAAAGAGTGAAGAGTGGTGGTAAACTTCTCAAACCAGACCCTAGGTGCCTATTTGAGGCCATAAATGACTTTGTTTAACTTGCACACAAGTGAGGCATCAGTATTTTGAAAACCAGGTAGTTGTTGCATGTAGATTTTTTCAAGTAGGCCATTTAAAAAGGCATTATTTCACATCAAGTTGAGTGATGTGCCACTTTCTAAAGATAACTAATGTCAGAATTACTCTCACAATAACTGGTTTTACTACTGGAGAAAATGTTTGATGAAAGTTAAAACCCTGTACTTGGTGATATCCTTTAGGTACAAGCCTAGCCTTGTACTTCAAGATTGAACCATTAGGATTTTGCTTAATTCTGAAAATCCATTTGCATCCTATAGCCCTCCTATTTGGAGGAAGACGAGTTAAAGTCCATGTGTGATTGTTGAGCAAAGCTGATGATCAGCTTTCATGGCATCAAGCCATTTAGGGTCCTTAAGTGCCATCTTATATGATGTGGGCTCAAGTTCAGTCAAGAATAGTGTGGGATGGAGCCTTGGTTGGACTATGCCATCCTTGGCTCTTGTGACCATAGTGTGAGTGTTGAGAGGATGAATCCTTGAAAGCGGTGAGGAACCAGTATTGATGGATGAAGAGGAAACAGATGGAGTAATAGTTTGAGGTGAGGAATTCCCATGGTAAGATGCAGGAGAAGGAGAGGAATCTACATTGTTGTGAGCTGCAGTGTTGTGAGAGGCAGAAGAATGAGAGGATGATGCAGTGTTATGGGATGTTGAAGAAGAAGCAGAGGAAGAAGAACTCTTGTGATGTTGATGACCTGAGCTAGTGTTATGGGATGTTGAGCAGAGGAAGATGAACTGTTGTGATGTTGATGACCTGAGCTGGAGGCAGAATTAGAAGCTGCAGAGGCAGTTTGGGTTTGATAAGGGGGATGAAAGAGGACTAGGTGCTGCAGAGGCAGTCTGAGCATGTTGAGAGAAGGGTGGTCAGCAAAAGGAAAAGTAAGAGGTGCTATGATTGATGGGGTAGAAGTAGATGTAGCAGCAGGGGATAATGAAGGAAAAATATCATTATAGGGAAATCTAATCTCATTAAAGAGAACATCTTTAGAGATGTAGATTCTCCCATCACTTGACAAACATTTGTATCCCTTATGATTGATAGAATAGCCTAAAAACAAACATTCCCTTGAATGATAGACAAAGTTGTGAGGATTGTATGGTCTAAGGTGAGGGTATCAAGCACGCCCAAAAGCTTTGAGATGTTTGTAGTTAGGTTCAGTTTTGTAGAGGGTTAGATAGGGAGAGTCCATACCAAGTGTGGCAGTTGGCATCCTGTTGATAAGGTAAGTTGCTGCTTGAAAGGCATGATCCCAAAACTTTAGAGGGAGATTAGCTTGAGCTAAAAGAGTTAGACCAGTTTCCACTACATGCCTATGTTTCCTCTCAACTGTACCATTTTGATGGTGAGTGTGAGGACAAGTCAATCTGTGAGTGGCTCCTTGTTTATAAAGAGAGGAGGTGAGAGGTTGAAACTCTCAACCTCCATCTGTTTGGACAAATTTGACTAGGCAGTTAAATTGAGTAGTGACATGAGTTAGAAATGTGGTGAAAACTGAGTAGACTTCAGATTTTTGCTTCAAAAGAAAAATCCAAGTATACCTTGTGAATGCATCTACACAGGTGAGTAAGTACTTAAATCCAAAGGGTGAGATCATGGGAGAAGGGCCTCACACGTCAGTAAACAATAGTTCAAATGGTGCTTTATAAACTAAAGTGGAGGGATATGAAGGTAATCTATGTATTTTACCAAGACAACAAGCAACACAGAAATCCAGTTTTGATTGTAAAGAAATCGGTATATTACATTTGGTGAGAACATATTTGAGTACCTCATGATGAGAATGACCCAACCTGTTATGCCTTTGGGCACACAAAGAAGATCCCAAAGTAGGGTTACCTTTATTTACATAAGAATTCAAAGGTGCTTTGTGAGATGTAGTAGTAGTAAGTGTGTGTACAAGAGGTGTGCTATATGCAGGAGAGGGTTGAGTTGTAGCCTGAAGATAGCCAAAAGAGTACAATCCATCCTTACCAAGAGCACCCTGTAGTAAGACCTCAGAGGTAGCCTGTGATTTCACCAAACAGATGTCAGGATGAAACTCAAAATATACCTTATTATCCCTTGCAAATTGACTCACAGGTAAATTTTTTGGTGATTTTAGGAACTAACAAGAGATTTTGTAAAGTGTAGTGTTTCATTTGTGTGTGTGGACTGTAGTGTGGCCGTGCCAATAGAGGTAATAGGCAAATATCTGTCATTACCAAGCAACACTTGGTCAGATCCTGAAGTAAACACACTGTCCAAAAAAAAATTCAGCACTGTGTGTCACATGGTGTGTAGCTCCAGAGTCAGGATACCATGGTGTTGAGACAGCAGGAATGTAGCTAGATTCAGCACCAGCCAGATAGGCTTAAGGAGGCTTGTGAGAGAATTGAGAGTTATTAGGTGCTGGAGGTCTTGGAGAGAATCCCGAGGATGGTGCACGCTATGATGAAGAGGCAGAAGGTGCAAGCCACTAATTATTAAACTGAGGCTGGGATAGTGCAAGCCATTGAGTATTGAAATGAGGTACACCTGAAGGCCAAAAATTAGAGTAAGGTGACTGAGGGAAGAAGTTTGGTGCTGAATTCCTCCATTGAATAGCTGGAGAGAGTTGACAAGAGTGCATGTAGTAACACATACGCGCATCAATTGCAACTTTGGAACAAATTTGACACTAAACTCTACCTCTACCTCCATTGCATCCTCCTCATCTATTGCCATTGGAACGACCTCCGTGAAAACCACGGGATCTATTGAAGTGCTGCACCATATCCGAACAAGGAACTTCAGTTGGAATCTCAGAAGTAGTTGAAACCACTGATTGTGTCATGTTGGACGATGGTGTAACACTGTGTTGAGTTAGGTTAACTGAGAGAGATTCTTGAATTGGTGTGCGAGGAGCTCTGTCAAGTCTTGCTTCATGAGATAGAATCATTGTTTCAGCAACAATAAGTGCACACGGTTCATCGGCATTGGATAATAGAAGCTAATGCCTGATACTCAGGTGGAAGACCATCAAGTATCGTCTCAAGCTGATCATGATGAGACACTGGATTTCCGATGGACTCAAGAATATCAACAATCTATTGAATTCATCTGAGCGACTAAGCAATGGTGCGATCTTCTTTCTCAATGCCTCGCAACTCATAGAACAACTGTCTGGATTTAGCATATATCTGCGTTTTCTGAAATTGTTCAATAACAGACCAAAATTCATGAGCGTGAACACATTTCACGACTCGAGGAAGGACCAAATCAGAAAGAGTGGTGAGCAACCAGGTGAAGAGAAGCAAATCTTGTTGATTCCAAGCAACATACGCCTGATTTCTTGTATCGGACGCACAATCCTCCACAGAAAGGTAATTAGGAGGAATGTTAGTGTTCGCAAGGTGGCAATGAAGTTTGTGAATTCGAATAATACCTTCAGCTTGTTGCTTCCATGAGAGGAAGTT